GTGCATACTTGTGCACTGATGTATCCATTCATTACTGTTGTTAGAATTAAATGCGAATCTGAGGCGCCTTACATTCACATATTGGACAACGTCTAGTTGTGTTGAAAGTAATTGAAAGCATATTTATGACTGATCATAAAGCGTTAAATCATTCCTCAACCATGCCAACATAATATACCAATAATATGAAATAACATTAATATTTCATTGATAATGTTCGTAGACCAATTATTGTGTTTAGCAAATATCATTTTGTTGAATTGCTCTATTAATTCCAGAATTTACCAGCGAGAAAAAAATGTTGAATTTATGTTAATCTATTTTTATCTCTAAACCTATTTTAAAACGACAATCTATGTTATCATTGAAATGGATCATTCCGTACATGCTTATTACACTGTCCCAAATCTTTAGAAATCATCCGGAGATGAAAGTTTCAAATGAATGAAGTGTCAGCTTGAGGGAAAATAGAAAGACATTTGCATACTCTAGCATATAATTGTCAAAATTTCCAAACTTTCCCTACATTAAAAATGAACTTAAGTTCATAATTTTTCAGATGCTTTCGATCTGACGTTTGTGAGGAATTATGAATGCTATTAGGAACATAGTAAGAAATCTACATCGCCTTCCTCTGTATGTCTTCTCTGTGACGACCAGCTAAATGCACTAAGCTTTTTAGAACATAGATATGCCTAAGTAAAGATTTCATAATTTATTTTGAGAAACACAGTTGTGCGGGGTCATCAGTCATTTCTATGCTATAAAATTGTTAATCCTAATAAAAGTAACTAAACCTCGGGTCAATCAAATTAGGAAAAGCGTGTAGAAAATTCTACATATTCACTTTTCGCAAATAGAAAATATTAAAACATTGGTTCCTTTGTTATGTATACTTGTTCTCGAAACAAGTAAATGGGCAAATGTTATAACAATACAATCACTATTTTCTATGAGCACATCTAAGGTTTAGAAAATGTAATTATAAATGTTTAATATTTTCTAGAGATCTGCACCAAGAAATAATTCTATTCTTTAATTTAAATACTAATGCATCAATCTACGTAATCACTGTTTCGAAAGGGCCGTGTTTTAAACATTACTGAATATTGATGTATTCCAATATTTCCATTAAAAATTCAATATACGAATGTAAAATCGATATCTGTCTGCTGTATATAGACCCACGCTGACACACGCGATTGCGTACGCTAAAGAAATTTATATTTCAATGTATAGATTAAGAATTTCAATAGGTGTTACAAAAATTGGGATGAATGTAAGTAAGTCGTGTGCATTCAATACAATAAAGAAAACAAAAAACAACTTTCTCATTTGTTATGAAATTTGTCAATGCAATTCTTGAAATTTTTGTCATGTTCTTATTAATTTACAGATCCATGCATTTTCTGAGAGTCCATTGGGCATCTTTTTCTTGGAAATGAGTATATAATACGTCGTTCAAAACGCTGAGCAGAAGCTCCTTCTAGGTTTAAGTTTTAACTGCTGCTTAGAATACGAGATTTAAATATTTTGACGCACACTCAATAAATTATTTGTGCAGGTGCCTCCCACGCGCATGATCTGGATACATTCTTCATATTGGATTCGTTCCTCTCACGTCCGAAAGATTCGCAGCACTCCACGCGACCCGCATGGTCGATGCTGACCAACTTTGCCCAAGACTGAGGTAGTCTCAGAAATATGCAGGGTTGAGTTCTTGTATCCATAATCTCGCCAAAAACTCAAGCACAATATCACTGCTCAATATTGTTATATATGGAATGCGAAAAAAAGCGAAGAGCCAGTCAAAGTTGTTAACCTCGTAATAAGTTATAATTAACATTAGTAATACCTTAATATGTTTACAAATTAGAAGACAATCTACAAATGTCTCGTAACCAATTAATCAGTAGTAAAAACGAAATGACGAAGAATACCATAATAATAAACGAGAATGCACGAGGCTTTCCTTGTCTCACTGGCAACAATACAGAACAACATACGGCTGATGGTGCTTTAAGACCTCAAAAACGTTTTTTAAACAAATAAATACATGAAATGATGCGTTGCTACATGTTAAAATGACGATAACAAATCATACGTTTTTAGAAATACGCTGAACACAGTACTTACGTATTTTGGGCGTTGATTTAGATTAACAATGTGCCTTTCCTTACATACTCAATTATTTAAATTATTCAAACAGAACTCGTGCATACGCATCCAGAAATTAAGTTTATTGATCGTCAACTAAAAAGGAACAAAACTCCAAGTAAAAAAACATTTAACAAATACCAACATGATAAAAACTACCCCTGATATTTCATTATCTAATGCCTTTCTTAAACCTATTCTACTTTCTACCACAAACAATGAAAAATACTATGTCTATTCATAAATTACAGAAAAGGAATTTGTCTGAGGGCTACAAAACATTTTTAAGAATCTGTCTTCTCGTTTGCAGAGACCCAACCCCTGAGACGACCCTCTCATAGCGTCCGTGGAAGCCCTACACGAAGGATGAGAGAACTTCTTGAGCATATGAAAAACCAACTGCAAAATCGAACATACCCCTTTGCTGACCGCGCGCGTTTTGCGGAAACGTTTATGAAAAATATGGTAATGAGGCGAATCATTTGAACGTTTCCGCGCAAATTTATATTTCACACAATGTTTAGCCTTATTAATTTTTCTTAATAAAAGTAAATAAAATAACCAATAAAAGTTTATTTCATTGTGTTTCCAAGTATACTGTTATCATATTGTACGTTCAACTAACGAATGAAAAGGAATAGTCAGCGACAACTGATAAGGGTCCGTTGACTTTAGGCGACTGCATCCCCAGAGGATCATTGGAAATGAAGAGAAATCTGATCCAACCTTATACCAAATGAAATCAGAAATAGTCAGAATACACGAATTCGCTAAACGAAAAAAAATGAGAATATGTGTGAATATATAAAGCTTGTTGTGCAACATAATGCAGTTTTTTGGGTTAGTTATAGTGCAGTATTGAAAATAGCATCAAGTAAATATCTGAGGAGGCTGAGGAACGACGCTTCATTCAAGAGAAATGGTATAAATTTCTCCTTGGTAAATAATAAACAACTACGCTCCTATTAAGCTATTCCAGAATCAGCACCAAAAGATTAAAAACTCTGGGGTAAATATTAATTTAGCTAATATTTTTAATTATGTGAAAGGAAATATCAAGTCCTGAATTAAGTATTGTGGAGCCCCCTAAGGGAAAATCGTGTTGGAGCTTTCTCCAAAAACACTTTTCTCCAGAATTTCTAACTCTTGATATAAAAGTGTAAAACAAATGGTAAAAACATAAAAAATACTAGTAATTTTTAAACACTAACATTTTAGTAGTAGAGTATTTGATTATATATTCAAAGAGAATTAGAGATAAAAGTATTTTAAAATTTTTTCGAATATTTATGAATATTTTCCGGGGCGAGTACTTTATTGCTTGTGACTCCGGTTTTCCTAATTACTATCAAGAGAGTTGACTCATGGCATCAACAGATGTCACTGCAGTGCGTCTGACCGAAGGTCCTAGGTCTTAAGTTCAATTCGACGGTGGCAGGATTTTTGACATTAGCTTGTCAGCTATTTCGAATTCAGTCACTGTGTGAGGGAACTCTAACTGCTGGCTGCTGTATCAGTAGTTTTCTATGGTTTTTATTATTCGACACCACCAACGTGTATGCCGAGCAATACACCAACAAACGGCCACGTCCGCGGGCTATCTTTCTTACCTCTTCCTTGTCCTATCCTCACCCCTTTCTTCTACACATTACTCTAAAACGCACTTCACTACCGCACATACCGGGAGACAGTCGGAACTTACAGCTTGTCCCGGCTGGGCGGTTCACGATGGTAAAAAACCCGTCTAACCGACGGTAGGTCGGCGCCGTTCTCGCCACCCAACGAGAGAAGATACCACCACTCCCTAGGAAAACATGCACTGCACTTACGGGATGAACGATGTAGCCTTGACGCGCCCGAATCACTAACAATCTATCAATCAATCTAAGCTATTGTTTATTTTGCTTTGATGTAAATCGGTTTGGCCAAGGTCCTCCATAAGACATTTTGTAATTTTCGGCCCTCAGGTTTCGTAATTATCGCGCACCCTTAATCTAGTTAGGTTGCGCTCCTGCACGCGGCTGCTAGTTCCCCCCCCCCCCCCCCGTGGACGAGGGCAAACGCGTCCCCGCCGCACGCGCCGCGCGAGTGGCCTGGGCCGGT